GGGACATTTTTGGGCCATTTCAGGACATTTTTGGGCATTTTTGGGACATTTTTGGGCCGTTTCGGGACATTTTTGGGCCATTTCAGGACATTTTTGGGCCGTTTTGGGAGGTTTCACCCACTCTTGAGGAAGGCAGCCAGGTCGAAGAGCGCCCTGTCCTCGGAGCTCTTTGGGTTTGGGTGGGTTTTGGGTGGGTTTGGTGAATTCTGGCTGGGTCTGGGCTGGGTTTTGGGGGCGTTTCAGGACATTTTTGGGCCATTTCAGGACATTTTGGGAGGTTTCACCCACTCTTGAGGAAGGCAGCCAGGTCGAAGAGCGCCCTGTCCTCGGAGCCGCTGGGGTTTGGGTGGGTTTTGGGTGGATTTGGTGAATTCTGGGTGGGTTTGGGCGGGTCTGGGCTGGGTTTTTGGGCCATTTCAGGACATTTTGGGCCGTTTCACCCACTCTTGAGGAAGGCAGCCAGGTCGAAGAGCGCCCTGTCCTCGGAGCCGCCGTCCCAGCGCGGCAGCGCCAGCCCGTTGTGCGGCTGCAGCCGGAACGCGTCGCGGCGCCAATCCACCACCACCACGCGCGCCGGGTCGCGGTTCAGGCACGAGATGTCCTGCGGGGACCCCCCAAACCCTGAGCTTTCCGCCCCAAATCGGGGGTCCCGGGGGGCGGGGGGAGCCCCCACCTTGACGTGGTGGCCGTCCATGTAGCGCGTGGCGTCGCGGAAGTTTTTTGGGGTTTTGGGATGGTTTTTTTGGGGTTTTGGGATGGTTTTTTTGGGGTTTTGGGATGGTTTTTTTGGGGTTTTGGGATGGTTTTTTTGGGGGTTTTGGGATGGTTTTTTTAGAGATTTTTGGGGGCATTTTGGGCTGGTTTGGGGGTGGTTTTTTGGGGGGATTTTGGGGTGGTTTTGCAGTGTTTTTTCGGGGGTTTTTGGGGCGCTTTTGGGCTGTTCTTTGGGGTGTTTTGGGCCGGATTTTTAGGGGGTTTTGGGCTGTTTTTTTGGGAGGTTTTGGGCTGTTTTTTTGGGGGATTTAGGGCTGGTTTTGGACTGTTCTTTTGGGTGGTTTTGGGATTGTTTTTTGGGGGTTTTGGGGTGATTTTTTGGGATTTTGGGCTGTTCTTTAGGAGAGTTTTGGGGTGTTTTTTTGGGGGGATTTTTGGGGTGGTGTTTTGAGGGATTTTGGGGTATTTTTTGGGAGGTTTTGGGGTGTTTTTTTGGGAGGTTTTGAGGTGATTTTTTAGGGGGTTTTGGGCCTTTCTTCTGGGAGGTTTTGGGGTGGTTTTTTGGGGGGATTTTGGGGTGTTTTTTTGGGATGTTTTGGGGTGGTTTTGTAGTGATTTTTTTGGGGATTTTGGGCCATTCTTTTGGGAGGTTTTGGGTTGGTTTTGGGGTGGTGTTTTGAGGACTTTTGGGTTGGTTTTTTTTGGGATGTTTTGGGCTGTTTTTTAGGGGCTTTTGGGCCATTATTTTGGGAGGTTTTGGGGTGTTTTTTTGGGAGGTTTTGAGGTGATTTTTTAGGGGGTTTTGGGCCATTCTTCTGGGAGGTTTTGGGGTGGTTTTTTGGGGGGATTTTGGGGTGTTTTTTTGGGATGTTTTGGGGTGGTTTTGTAGTGATTTTTTTGGGGATTTTGGGCCATTCTTTTGGGAGGTTTTGGGGTGGTTTTTTGGGGGGATTTTGGGGTGTTTTTTTGGGATGTTTTGGGCTGTTTTTTAGGGGCTTTTGGGCCATTATTTTGGGAGGTTTTGGGGTGTTTTTTTGGGAGGTTTTGAGGTGATTTTTTAGGGGGTTTTGGGCCATTCTTCTGGGAGGTTTTGGGCTGGTTTTGGGGTAGTTTTTTTGGGGGTTTTGGGCCATTCTTCTGGGAGGTTTTGGGCTGGTTTTGGGGTAGTTTTTTTGGGGGTTTTGGGCCATTCTTTTGGGGGTTTTTGGGGTGGTGTTTTGAGGGATTTTGGGGTATTTTTTGGGAGGCTTTGGGGTGTTTTTTTGGGAGGTTTTGAGGTGACTTTTTTGGGGGATTTGGGCCATTCTTCTGGGAGGTTTTGGGCTGGTTTTGGGGTAGTTTTTTTGGGGGTTTTGGGCCATTCTTTTGGGGGTTTTTGGGGTGGTGTTTTGAGGGATTTTGGGGTATTTTTTGGGAGGCTTTGGGGTGTTTTTTTGGGAGGTTTTGAGGTGACTTTTTTGGGGGATTTGGGCCATTCTTCTGGGAGGTTTTGGGGTGGTTTTTTGGGGGGATTTTGGCTAATTTTTTGGGATGTTTTGGGCTGGTTTTGGGGTAGTTTTTTTGGGGGTTTTGGGCCATTCTTTTGGGGGTTTTTGGGGTGGTGTTTTGAGAACTTTTGGGTTGTTATTTTGGGATATTTTGGGCTGTTTTTTAGGGGGTTTTGGGCCGCTATTTTGGGGGTTTTTGGGCTGGTTTTGGGGTGTTTTTTCGGGAGGTTTTGTAGTGATTTTTTGGGGGATTTTGGGCCATTCTTTTGGGAGGTTTTGGGGTGGTGTTTTGAGGACTTTTGGGTTGTTTTTTTTTGGGATGTTTTGGGCTGGTTTTGGGGTAGTTTTTTTGGGGGTTTTGGGCCATTCTTTTGGGGTTTTTGGGCTGTTTTTGGGGTGGTGTTTTGAGGACTTTTGGGTTGTTTTTCTTTGCATGTTTTGGGCCGTTATTTTGGGGGGTTTTGGGCTGGTTTTGGGGGTGCTTTTTCGGCATGTTTTGAGGTGATTTTTTTGGGGG